TTGCACTTCAAGGAGAAGAAGATCACGAATTTACAAAAAATCACAAATTTACCAAATACAAATCACAATTTACAAAATCACAAATTTACAAGAGAATCAAATTGTTTAAATCAGTGGTTACCAACTAGCGGCCTGCGGGCCGCATCCACCCCGCGAAGCCTTTTTTTTGTTTCCCGCGAATATCAGTGGTCGTTTTTTTGCGGACAATTTTCGTAAAAAATCTATATGGGTTTAAAATACTTTTCTTTCGTTTAAAAAAACCTAATTTCTTCGTGTCTGTGAAATTTAACATACCAAAGGTGCAAAAAAAAATTATTTCTCAGGTTTTGCATCGAAGAAAATATTTATTCACTTACAAAAATAATCGTGTATGTTTCTCTTTTTTATTTCGTTATTTTGTGAATATAATTCAGCATGCGCGAATCATAAATTTTCTCGAAGAAGTTCTCCCATTCAACTTTTTGAAACCACTCATTTTGGATGAAATTATTTCCGTTTGTAAATTTTAAAACGCATGAACGAGGAAATGAATATTATGTTTTATTTAAATTCCTTGAATTGAATATCGCATGAGCGGAAGAGAAAAAAAAATTTATTCCAGATGCTCGAGAATTTTTTTTTTCTTTTTTTTGTTTTTGTTGCTACAATTAATAACAAGTCGAAAAAAATTTTAATTTATCACTGAATTAAATTTTAAAAGAAAAAAAATCTTCTCACTAAGTTTCTGATTAAGAGAAGATACAAGCATTATTTGCAATGCTTGTTATTCTGCTTTTTGATATTAAAAAAACTTTGATAAAAATCTGACAGTAATATTTAATGTTCCTTCAAACATAAAAGAGTCCTATTTAAAATTTTAATAAAGTTACCCGCCACCATTTGACTGTTATTTTTAATTGCGGCCCCCGGCCACATGTAAATTGGAAACCCCTTTAAAAAATCCGCTTTTGCATCAAACAAACATATTCCGCTGCTGTTACAGTTAAATTTTATCGACATTATAAGAGATACTTTGAGAACTATCCTGGAAAATTACAATTAAATGTATTTGTGTACACACACATATGCTGTGATTATCTAAAACACATTTGTGTGTGAAACAGGAGTTAAGGCCTTAATACTTTCATGTAAAAGTAAATTTTGAGGAGACTCGTCAACTAAGTTTTTTGCCAGAGGCAACGAATGAATTAAATCTGAATAAACGTACAATAATGTGAATTATAGAGTTAAAACAAGCCTGTTAAATCAGTATGGTGCTTTTTTTTAAAAAAAATTTAAAGTGGTGACTAAGTTGCTTCAGTATTTGCTACCTACAGAGTGAATTAATCTATCAATGTCGACCACACCAATTAAAAGCTTATAAAAAGTATAAACGGGGAAAAATCCTTATTTTAAGGGAAAATTAGTAATAATACAAAAAAATTTGAACTAGTTATCCTCTAATAATAATTATTTTCAGTCAAAACAACTTCCATTATTGTTAAATTCAAAAATATAATACTTGAATGTTGTACAGTCTTTAAATCTATATAATTAATTATTTAATAAGAATAGGCTAATAAATTAAAAACCGAAATACGATTTTTTTTTCTGTTCTAGAACTTAAATGTAAATTAGGAATGTAACTTTTAATGATAATATTTCATTATTCTTTTCGTGTCATTTTCATATTTTAATGTGCCCATTGTAGTATGTAAAATAATTTGTTGTTTCATTACCTGTAAATATCGTTCAATTATACCTATTTATTTTATACATATTTTTTTATTACGAGTAAGTTTAAAGTTATTAAATAAGTAGTTAATGTATCTACTTGTAATTAAAGAATAAAGACTTGATTTTTCGAGAATAATTTAATTTAAAAATGCTTTTTACTTTTCTTTCAAAATTAATTTACTTTTCAGTTTATAAAATTTATTTTCTGCTTTTACAATTCGTCAAATTTTTAAGTTTGATAGGAAAAATTAACTTCATTTATTCAGTAATTTGTTTGCTATAATTGAATAATAATGTATAGAAAAAATTTTAGTTGCAGTATTGTCGTTAAATAATACTAAGCATTATTTAAATACTTTATGAGAGTTTTAATCATTAAACGAGAAAAGATGTGTTTGAAATAAAAAAAATTCAACACTTAATTTATATATTTTTAAATAAAACATGATTCTGATCAATTCCGATGAAATTCCTCAATGTTTTGCCTCGGGGCCCCTAAAATCCTAAGCACGCCCCTGATTCACTTTATAATTGAACTTCAATTTTATTTAAAAGTTTTTTTATATATTCAACAGATATATTAACTAATAGAAGGCTAACTTTTCTAATGAGCGAAGTATGAAAGCAATTGTGCTAGATTAAGGCAATTAACCAATTTCTAAAGTAGCTATATAACGCTACATTTCTTTATTTAAACTATGCTGATATTTTATTCCCTTATGATTAAAAGGTGATAAAGAGGAAAACAACAGCTCAGTTAAAGTAGTTCGTTGTATAAGTATCATTAATCAATAATTTGTGAATCTGTAACCTCCTCTCAATTGTAAATTGAATTTTAAGAAAGAAAAAGTCAAAATAAGCAAATAAAAATATTTAGAATTGTTTTTTAATAAATGGAGAGAAAATGCTACGAGCTTCCATAAAATAAAAATAATAAAACCTCAGTGGAAAAAAAATTGATACCTTCATATGATTTGATAATTGCCGATCAAAAATTATCTTTGACAACAATATTAGATTTCCCCCTTCCTTCTGTGCTGTAACTTGCTTTCTGGTAAAAAAATAATAAAAAGTAAATAAAAAACTTAGCATTCACAGTTAATAAGTTAGAATTCCTAGGATTTTGTATCATGGCTTTTGTATCATAGTTGATAAGTTATAATTACTAGAAGTTTGTCTCACTGTCTTTATCTCATAGTTAATAAGTAAGAATTAGTAGAATTTTATCCGTCACACTACAGATTTAAATAATCTATCTTATTATATAAAACGCTAATACGTACGTATGTATGTATGTATGTATCAATAAAACCAATGATATTTCTTTTCTCGCGCTGGCAGCTGTTTTCATTTTTAATTGATTGGATTCGGCGCGCAAGAGCACGTAGTGAGCAACCAGATAACAATAACCAGAGTGAGCATTATCAGGTTGTTCAATTCAGATTCATGCACTAAAAACATGACAATATTTAATTTAAACTCAATTAGGAATTAATTAATTAATTGAAGTGAGAATGCTTTAAAAGGCCGCTGTTGAATTGATATTTTTCTACTGGGAGCTACCTAAACGTCTAAAAAACGTTTAAGTGTTTGTATTGAATGCATTGAATTTTTTTATATTTCGCGTTTATTTATGCATTGAATTTTCACGCTTTAAAATGCAGAATATTAGTGAAGCAATATTTGATAATTTATTTTGCTAATATGTTTCTTATTTAGCTAATGTTTTGATTTTTTCACCATGTACAATCTAAATAGCTAATATACTTTTTTAAAAGCCAATAAGAACATTGGTAGAATTCTTCTACATAAGTACAATACTATGTCTTTGATGATAAAATACTATGTCTTTGATGATAATATATTATGTCTTTGTGCTAGAACATTGTGTTCATTGGCGAGCGAGCGCAGCGAGCCATGGTTCACGGCGTGAACCACATAGGATTGCGTAGCAATTCTCGGGGGTTGGCAAGCGTTAGCGAGCAGGGGGCGGAGCCTCCTAGTTGAAAATAATACACTACACATCATACACTACACATACAAATAATTTGAAAAGGAACCATATGAGGTCAGATAGACAATGCTCATGCTCTTAATTTAAAAATTGCTCATGCTCTTAAGTCTGATAAAAAAAATTGAAGGTTACCTTCAGTTACTTTAGAAACAAAAATATTTAATGAGCCTCACAAAACGTCTTGCCCAATGCCCTGACAATCGAACTACTGTTCTAAAAGAAATTGTAAAATCTTAGCCGGTTCACTGTGTGTTGAACTACTTACAATGTTTACGCTCCACAGTGGGCCAGCATCCAAGGTTTCGTGGCCAAAATTAGTATTTCGATCAAATTTGTTTCAAAATTTGGGGGGTTTTATATGCAGGTAAATTGAATTCATAGTTGAAATTTTGAAATACACTAAAAATACCCAAAAAAACAACTATGGCGAGCAAAAATAAAAAAAATAATATAGTACGTTTAAATAATTAAATATAGCAACAAAAATATAATAATTTTCGTAATTTTATATTAAAAATGAAAAGCAATTATATTTCCGAAGTAATATTACAAAATAACGCGAATTAATTACAAAATAACGCGAAAACACAAAAAAAATGAACATAATTTTTCCAACAAATTGAAAACTTTTACTATAATTTCAGACTAATTACTCTGATAAAAATGTAACAGTAAGGTGAAATTCGTATGTATATTTCTGAAATAAAAATTTAAAGGTTACATTTAAAAAAAAAAAAATTTAACATACTTTTCATTACATTGTACTCTCGTCGGTCCAAAAAGTAAATTATAAAGTAAATGATTATGAATACTTAATTTGGGCTATATTAAAACTGCCTACACATATTTTAGTTGAAAATTTAATTTTTGACTATTGGCTAAAGATCATGGTCTTCTGGCCCACAGTGCTCTCGTATGAAAAATCTAAATATTACAATTCAGCAAGTGACTATCATTTGATTGTTAAAATTCTATTTTAAGTGTTTGTTTTTTGTTTTGTTTTGTTTTCTTACTTAAGCATAAAATACAATTTAAAAGCAATTTTGTCGAGCAAACTATGCATGTTATAAGTTTAAATATATTGTCATGAACATTAAAAATATTTTAAGCTAATATTTTTGTAGCTCTCTGTCTCGCCGAAATTTTATAGATTAGAAATAACAATATGAAAATTATGGCTAGGTTAGTAGTTCAAAATGTATTGCTAACTCGACATTAAAAAAAAAATTATTCGATAAAAAATCTAAATATTTAAATGATATTTGCTTACCCTTAAAATCCAGTTATCCATTATTTTTATAGTAAATAAATGATGAAATTGCCGTTAAATCACTTTCTGAACACCCATAGTTAAACAAATATAGTCTGCTAAACAAAAGAATATCGTCTGCTTTCTCTTCCGTAACACAAAAGATAAGTTGAGAATATCTTAAGATTTCGTCTGCCGGAATTAGCTGTTCCCACCTGTTACTAGCTGATGTTGTTGAGGTTCGATGCCTTCTGGCTACCCCCTGACCGTGACCGTGGCCAAGAAAAGAAACATTCAATAGGGTTGCTGTAATCAGTTATTTTTTTCCTAATAAACCACCTTAATCATAATATGCCAAAACGCCAAGTTGTTTTTTGAAGAAAAAAAATGGAACGTCCATTTATTTTTCTCCATTGTTCTTGAATTTCCTTGAGGTCACATTCAGATTTTTGGTTTTTATGTTTCATAATTTTAAAAAAAAAAAGTTTCCTATGAGGGCAAAACTAAAATATCCCAGATAAGGAATATAATCTCACTGGTTTATAGAATAGAGATTATACCAAAATTAGTTGATGTTCTGATCATAAATGAATTTTTATGAAGAAAAAAAAATGCTTGAATTAATGCTAAGAAATACTTTGCACATTTAGATAAACCACTTTAAAGGAAATATTAGTAAAGGCAAATTTTAAAGACTGGAATTATTTCAATGCTGTTTTCGTTCAAAAATTTTAGCATCTTATCTATAAATCTCAAATTTTAACTGAAATACGAATACCTTCATAAAAAATTATTAACTTGGGTTTAAATTTTATAGATATTTTCTTCTGCCAATTGGGTTAAACAATTGCCTCATTTAGAATTAAATATTGATTCTCATATCATTATCAGTATCATTAATTAAATATTGAATCTTTCATCATTAAACAATATCATAATCATTAACCAAATATTGATTACGTTAATCGAATATTGGTTTTCATGTCATCAAAATATCATTATTCAAATATGGATTTTCATGTCATTAATCAATATTATTATTCAAATGTGGATTTTCATGTCATTAATCAATATCATTATCGTTAAGAGGGACGCAGCTGACGGGGGTTCTAGAGGGTTCGGGGCCTCTCGACCCCCCAAAAAAAGAAACATTTATTTATATATATATANATATTATACTGGATAATAAATATATATATATATATATATATATATATAGTTAAATACAGAGAAAACATGGAAAAAGACGTAAAGATTTTATAAAAGATAAGAAAAAAGTGTTTTTAAAAAATATTCACCCATTTAAAATTTGAAAAGTGCTTTCTAATATTGCATTTATATAGCACAGTGTTTCCCAAAGTGTGGTACGCGTACCCCTAGGTGTAAGGGATCAGCTTAGCGGGGGTACTCGCTCTTATGCGAAATATCTTGGAAAAAACGAAAATGTCAAGAAAATTTTATTTAAAATCAAAGCTAGCCGTGAAAATTTACGATTACGTATTTTTCTATTGGCTATTTTTTCAGAGTCAACAGTTCATAATTAGTAGTGTCAACCGCCAGTTGTGATTTTTAACTTTTGTGGAAATTTTTATAGTAAAAAATACATTTATTTCATATTTATGGTACACAGTGCTACGAAAAATTTTTAAAGGTTACACAAAAGTCATAAGTTTGGGAAACACTGATATAGCCCAAAGTAAAAAAAAATCAATACTATATATATATAGTATGTATTATGTATTTAATAGTATAGTATGTATATATGTATGTATGTATGTGTATGTATGCATGTATGTATAGTATGTATTTAACTATATATATATAGTATATATAGTATAAGGAGCACCAAAAAAATTTAAACGAAAATCTAACTTATTAAGCAAAAATGTGTGATAAAACAAAAAATGCGCAATAAAAGAATCAAGCAAAATTAGAAAATAAAAATGCTGGAAAATTACACTCACACTATTAGATTGATATTTTTTGCTTTGGCTATATCAATGCAATATTAGATAGCACTATTTTTCCGGATATAATCTTGCGAGCTGATGACGAGAAAATATCTTTTCCTTTTTGTATTTTCCAATTTCTGTTATTTAAATTTTAAAAATTTCTTAAATATTAAAATTTGGAATATTTTTAAAAACATTATTTTCGCCTTTAAATAAATCCTTTTTATCTCTTCTTACTTGTTTCTCGATATTTTGAACTTATTTTATGAGTTCTATGTACAGCTTATGCGCAGTAAATAAAATTTATATATATATATGTGTGTGTGTGTG